TGTGGCGTATGGATTTCAAAGTCCATCTTATGGTAACTGTATTAGTTTGATTAGTTTTTCTGCTGCTCTTCCTACTAAATGCTTAATTTAAAAAAATTTAATTATAGCCTCACTCCAAAAAGGATTTCAGGTAGCTACCAAGGTAAGGTATCATTTCACTAAGACACAGTGCTCCCTGACTGGCGGCCAGGGGCTGGCCTGGGGCGACGGCTGGCCTGGGAGCGAGTGTGCTTCTTTGGGACATGGGCCCTGGGTGAAGGTGGCAAAGCCCCGGACTGGTGGAGGAAGGACAGGGTGTTGGGGGGACAGATGGGACCCGGAAAGGCCCCTGGTCCGCAGCAGGTCACTGGAGCGGTGGGGAGGGGAGGTGTTGCGGGCGCGGCCTTCATTTCAGGCCACCTGGGCTCCTCCTTTTCTCACTCCCACCCTGCTCTTCCAAGCTGCAGCCTGGAAATCTGCACAAACGCCCTGGGGGAGCTCCACAGGGTGGTGGTCCAGGCAGCGCTGGCGTCCCGCGTCCACTCTAGAGTCGCCGTGCACCAAGAGGAAACTCCAGGGGCGGGAAGAAGAGTCAGGGAGGGGGTGGACATGGGAGCCCCCACCCAGGAAGGGAAGGAAGGGACGCCACGGTGTCTAGAGGCCACACTGCCATTTTCCACCCTCGTCATCCTTCACCAGATCACAACTGACTGATACCGTATCGGCCTAATTATGGCCAATGCCTGCCTGCCCGTCGTTACCTGGATCAACTTCTTAAAACACTACTTGTATCAGGTCATTTTCCTACTTAAACGCCTCCGGGGGGAGATGAAGTCACGGTCCCCTGCCTGACACTGAAAGCATCCCACAGCCAGCCCTCAGGCACCCCCTGACCTCACCGAGCTCCTGCGGCGCCTTCCTGTTGTGCTGACCCCCTTGCTCTCCTCCAACCTGCCCTCCTCCCTGCGGCTGCGCCCTCCTCCCCGAGGCTGCTCCCCACTCCCAGCCACCTGCCCAGGCTCAGCGTCAGTTTCCACCTCCTCCAGGAAGTCCTCTGACCCCGTAGGTCCCTAGGGTGTCCTCCCCCTCGGGTCTTCAGAGCTCACGAGGGCCTCTCGCATGTGCTGCCTGGACGTACTCAGGCCTCTTTTCTCTGCATAAAGCCCTCATTTAATAATGAATTTTCAGGCCACGTCTCATCTCCTTGTCTAGACTGGAAATCTCTGAGGGCGTTATGCTTCTTTGCGTTTCCTATGGTGCTTAGAGTTGGTTTTATTAAGTGCACAGCTGGTATTTAATAAATTATCTCATGGACAATGAATTCAACGGACCAAAACTCCACCCGAGGTGACAGTGAATGGGCACTAGTGAACCTTCTCCGGCAGTGATCAAGACAGCAGGGTTAGACAGAACGGTTCACTCCTGAATAGAAACTAGCGGGCGAACCAGAGCCCTCACTTCTGCCTGGAGGAGAGGGTGGAGGGACAGCATGGCTGGTGGGCTGTTCCCCTGCCAGGGTCTCAGAGCTCCTCCTGGGCTTCCTGCGCATCAGAACCCTGTGGCCTTCCGGTGCTCTCACCTCTCCCACATTCTTTCTGCTCTGCATCCTGGCACTTCTACTTCTGTTCTCCTGGCTTTTCTTTATCATTTTCTGTCTCCATCTTCTTTCCTGCTGCCTCCAGGGCTGGCCCCCCACGGAGCCCTCCAGCTCCCTGCTGCCTCCAGGGCCAGCCCCTGCTGCCTCCAGGCCCAGCTCCCCAT